GTTGTCAAGTATGTTGTCTCTAACCTATGTAATACCAAAAGGTAATAATGTTAATCTGTGTTGTCAAGTATGTTGTCTCTAACCTATGTAATACCAAAAGGTAATAATGTTAATCTGTGTTGTCAAGTATGTTGTCTCTAACCTATGTAATACCAAAAGGTAATTTTATATCAAATGTATCTAGCATAAGAAATATATTTTTCATGAAGATGTTTTACAAGTATACATCTGGTGGTGTTTAAAAGCATTTTTTGTACATTAAGATCAGGGTAAATGACATGAATGTTTCTTGTAGATTGAATATAAAAGTTGATTGTTAATACTGTTTTGGTGAAAAATGTACACACCAACTTTATTCTACTAATGTTTACATGTATATCTGCATTGCTGAATCTTATAATTATAAAAAAATATGATCTAAAACATCAAATTTTGGTTTAATAGTCGTTGAAAGTGTCTTGATATATGTAACGATATGCATCATTTGTTAGTTATTTGATCTTTGTAAAAGTGGAATAGAGAAACTTGTCCCACTTTTTAGGCTCTTGAGCTTCTTCAGAAAATAATAACTTACATCTTTCTGGAGTTTCACTTTTATAATATATACTGACAGGTATTCATGCTCTTTCTCTGGAATTAAAAGGATCTTTAAGTCAGTTCTATACTGTTGTGAGGTGTTTCAGGAAACTGTTCTATACTGTTGTGAGGTGTTTCAGGAAACTGTTCTATACTGTTGTGAGGTGTTTCAGGAAACTGTTCTATACTGTTGTGTGAGGTGTTTCAGGAAACTGTTCTATACTGTTGTGTGAGGTGTTTCAGGAAACTGTTCTATACTGTTGTGAGGTGTTTCAGGAAACTGTTCTATACTGTTGTGTGAGGTGTTTCAGGAAACTGTTCTATACTGTTGTGTGAGGTGTTTCAGGAAACTGTTCTATACTGTTGTGTGAGGTGTTTCAGGAAACTGTTCTATACTGTTGTGTGAGGTGTTTCAGGAAACTTTGTGAATTAACACTCGAATGATTACTACTCTCTCTATTATTACACTTTTGTGTAATAAATAAGATTGATACCTGAGACTAACTTATTTTACACGGACTCTGCTTCTTCGTCAAGTTTAAGTAAATTTTATCTTTGTCACTTATAGAGAACAGCAGGTGTTCGTATCCTATTTGGTGGTCCTAGAAATAAAGCACAAGTTTTTTTTTTTTAAAGATTAGATCTAAGGTGGAGTTATTTTAGATTTATCTAATATCAAGAAGCTGTAAAAGACTAACTTTAAGTGGTTTATTATATTGTAGAGAGAGGAAGTTTTTTTGTTGTTTTTTTTACCTCTTTGTGGAGGAGAAGTCTGTCTGTCATGAGCTGTAACTCCACCAGTCTAAACATGTATGTCTAAGAGAAAACCTTTTGTTTTTGGTCAGTATTCTGTTGAAGATGCTTGCCTGGTGGTTAGGACACTTGAATCTGAGGGTCGTGAATTCAAAACCCCATTGCCGAACATATTTGTGTTGTATGATTGTTGTCTGGACTGGCCACATCTGGTGTAAAAATTCTTGGCTTAAAAAAGATACCAGCCAACCCCCAAACTGGTTGGGATTTAGATCCATACAGGGAAAAAAAGTTGCACTAGTCATTTTAAACCACAACAGGGAATATTTTTTAGAAAACTACAAACTGTACTTTGGTAGTGGAATCAGTTATCTAATTTATTTTATGGCAAAAAGCTGAGAAAAGTTAATTCTAAAAATCAAATTCTGGGTGCTTTTCAAGTAAAATTTGATGGAAATTTTATAAATGAATGTTTGTACAAATAATGAGTTGCAGTTAGACCTTCAAGCTTTCACTAAAAAGAGGGGTGGTGGGTTAGTGTGTTCTTGTAAAAACATTATAAACTTAATAGTTTGTTTGACCTGACTGTAGATTGTGAAAGAAACTGTTGGCCAGAATTTATATATATTCTGCTGAAGTAGTGATTCAGGTGTTTGTTTCTTCATTGTTGTGAGATTGAAATGTGCTTGCAATGTAAGTAGTGATTCAGGTGTTTGTTTCTTCCTACTTACATTGCAAGCACATTTCAATCTCACAACAATGAAGAAACACTCACCTGAATCACTACTTACATTGTAAGCACATTTCAATCTCAAAACAATGAAGAAACAAACACCTGAATCACTACTTACATTGCAAGCACATTTCAATCTAACAACAATGAAGAAACAAACACCTGAATCACTACTTACATTGCAAGCACATTTCAATCTAACAACAATGAAGAAACAAACACCTGAATCATACATTGCAAGCACATTTCAATCTCACAACAATGAAGAAACAAACACCTGAATCACTACTTACATTGCAAGAACATTTCAATCTCACAACAATGAAGAAACAAACACCTGAATCACTACGCATATCTAAGACAAAAGTCAGGATGTATTGTATTAAGTACAATGTGTGACAAAAATTCCTGTTCTAGGCAAAAACCACCATATAAAGTGTTTTTATATTTTCTTTTGTAGAGTATCAGAAAGGTTGGTGGAGGATCACTGATGTTGAACAGTTAAAGTCATTGCTGAATTCTCTTCATCCACGGGGTATGAGAGAAAGGCATCTTCAAAAACAGCTTCAAAAGCATTTTAATTATGCTTGCCATGCTTGTACTCAGGGTCAACAGAAAGGTTAGTTTTTTATTGTTAAAATATCTATTACATGGCAATAAAATATATTCAGTCAAGGTCATTTAAAGGTCATCAGAAAGTTTAGTTTTTATTGTTAAAATATCTATTACATGGCAGTAAAATATTTTCAATCAAGGTCATTTAAAGGTCATCAGGGTCAACAGAAAGTAATAAAACAGATTATCTGACACACATTACAGTTTACGGAACATATACACCAGATATAATAAAACCAGATTATCTGACATACATTACAGTTTACTGAACATATGTTACAGATGTAATAAAACAGATTATCTGACACACATTACAGTTTACTGAACATATGTTACAGATTATCTGACACACATACAGTTTACTGAACATATGTTACAAATGTAATAAAACCTGATTATCTGACACGTTAGTTTTTTTAACATGCGTACCAGAAATAAAAAACCACTGTCTCTAAAGAGTTACATAGTTTAAATTAATTGTCAAGTATTTATTACACAATCTTGAAGTTTTGATACCAAACATTTGAAAATGTGAACTTTTATAATAGAAATAAAAACCACAGTCTCTAAAGAGTTACATAGTTTAAATAAATTGTCAAGTATTTATTACACAATCTTGAAGTTTTGATACCAAACATTTGAAAATGTGAACTTTTATAATAGAAATAAAAACCACAGTCTCTAAAGAGTTACATAGTTTAAATTAATTGTCAAGTATTTATTACACAATCTTGAAGTTTTGATACCAAACATTTGAAAATGTGAACTTTTATAGTACTATGTTTGAATCAAATATAAACATTTCTTTAGAGAGCAAAAAGGCATCATAACTGGTAGAGGAATGATCTGGCCCATGACAACAGATGTTAAACAACACTGATGGTTTTGACCCTGATGACCTTTAAATGTGACTTGATTGAAAATATTTTACTGCCATATAAAAGATATTTTAACAATAAAAACTAAACTTTCTGATGACCCTGATGGCCTTGATTGAAAATAATTTACTGGCATATAAAAGATATTTTAACAATAAAAACTAAACTTTCTGTTGACCCTGATGACCTTTAAATGACCTTGATTGGAAATATTTTACAGCCATATAATAGATATTTTAACAATAAAAAGCTAACCTTTCTGTTGACCCTGGTGACCTTTAAATGACCTTGATTGAAAATATTTTACTGCCATATAAAAGATATTTTAACAATAAAAACTAAACTTTCTGATGACCCTGATGACCTTGATTGAAAATATTTTACTGCCATGTAATAGATATTTGAACAATAAAAAACTAACAATATGTTCAGTAAACTTAATGTGTGTCAGATAATCTGGTTTTATTACATATGTAACATATGTTCAGTAAACTGTATGTGTGTCAGATAATCTGTTTTATTATATCTGTAACATATGTTCAGTAAACTGTAATGTGTGTCAGATAATCTGGTTTTATTACATATGTAACATATGTTCAGTAAACTGTAATGTGTGTCAGATAATCTGTTTTATTACATCTGGTGTATATGTTCAGTAAACTGTATGTGTGTCAGATAATCTGTTTTATTATATCTAGTGACATATGTTCAGTAAACTGTAATGTGTGTCAGATAATCTGTTTTATTACATCTGGTGTATATGTTCAGTAAACTGTAATGTGTGTCAGATAA